AAGACCATCTGCAGGTAAAATAATAAAGCAAAAGCTTTTCCTGCAGCGCTGTAAAGCCCAGGCCCACAAAAGGTGAGAGGGTTGCAAAAGCAGGCATGATTGATTGCAGCGCATCCAGTTGTGGGCCGGGCTTCTGATGAAAAGCTTGAGTTCATGTAGGTTCACTGTCCAGTTTCACTTCCCACAAAATGAAACTGATGTGCACCAGTGTGAGAGGGAGGGTGAGCTGTGGATCACAAAAAGGGCAGAGCTGGCTTTGAAAGTCAGCCTCACCCATTGTTGGTGGTCAACTATCAGTCCAGCTATTAGGAAATAATCATAATATCTTTCCAAACGGTGAGGCATGGAGCCAGAGACCTACATGCATGACCTGTGTACTGGGACACACAGCTCTTGGAGGCAGTTACGGTACTTTAAAACCCTTAGGGTTTGATTGTCCCAGTTTTTGCATTAAAATTCCCCCATGTTTCATAACCAGTCAAATCCAAACACACAGACATGATACACACATTTTTAGATTGAGTGTGACTCACACTTTCTGAGGATATCATTATCTCTGTCCTCATGTTCGTCACATCAAGTTTTCTTAAGCATCAAAGTAATCCAGTGATAGACAGATATGGGCACTCTGCAAACAGGAAGTGCTAACAGCTAATTCAGCATACGCAGCTGTCCGGGAGTCCACAATGGGAGATTTTATAAAGCCCTGCTTTACATGACCATGTTTGGCTCTTCATACACTCCCTACCAAAAGAATAAGTCATGTTGAGTGACAACCAACAGATCATTCACATCAAACACACTGGAACTGTTGTGAAGAGTTTACAGCTTTAATCTAGGTTCTTCTAGGTCAGGGGTTCTTGACCTTTCTGGCAGTCCGACCCCTTTTTGAAGTTGAAAATATTTAGCTGCTTGAATTGTCCGGAGACTGCAACAAACTGTCCCTGACTCATCCTAAAATAAGACTTAAACCGATCATCATTAAGACGAAGCTCCTGGACCAGCGGTGTCTCCCCTTTCTTAGAGTCTCATGTGCCCACACAGATCTCAGTTTCCCTGTCTTCTGCGTGTTTGTAGGCTACACCTCACACACTCAAAACAGTGCCAGAGCAGGCGCTCTGCGTTTGGCAGATGTTTTTAGCAACAAAAGACACAGACCTGTGAGTTGTGATCAGGTTTCTGCTAATATGAAAGTTATTAATTAGCAGCAAACCAAAGATTAGCCTACAGATCGCTGGCGCTATAGCCTAATCTTTGATTAGACTGACAGGACAGCTGTTTCAGTGGTTGCCTAGCAACATTTAAAAAAACGCAGCGCTGTGCTCTTTTCTAAATTCAACCAAAAGCCATTGCTGTGCGCCACGTGTTTTTCGAACCTACAAAGCGCTTTCTGTCTGATCGGGGCCTGAGTCTTCTTTGTCGTTTTATAGCGGTTGGCATCACCGCCACCTACTGGATTCAGCAGCTCATTTCGGGTTAATGAAGCAAAATACAGATCACAGACTGGTTAAGTTATGAATTGAAAATGTAGCGAAATTAAGAGTAGATTACTAGCCCAAAGAAAATATTGGATTAAAGAGTAAAAATATAAATAATAAAGGAACGTGAAAAGGCAATGACTTATTTTTATTTATTTATTTTGCAAATTTGCGTTACTTGTAACAAGTTACAACCCACCCTGCTGCAGGCGCCCTCACTGCTGTATTCAGGTAGGTTGTAATAACAGCAGCACAGAAGAAAAGCCTGCCTCCAGCAAACTCGTATTTTTTCTCCCGTAACATTTCAGCATCTCCTTTGCGTTGTGTCGGATGTTTTCTATAGGCCTAATTTACATGTTTTTGTCCGCGTTTTAACCGTTTAATTATGTCTGATGTGGAGTGATTGATTGACTAGCCACTCATAGTAAACGTTCTCACGATGGAGAAAAGCGGGGGGGAGGGACAAAACATAGATTTTGCGTATATACGTTATAACGTTACAATTTCATCTGCCCGTTATACTTTACCGTTCGTTACGGGCACCGTTAAAGTACGTCTCTGTTGCAGTTAACGGTTTTACCACTCAATGTCACTGTGAGACTAGCTGTAGATTAAGGTTTCATAGTTATCACCTAATCATAATTATTTGTCCTTGTATACGTACATTTTTGTTGGTGTTTTGTTGCTATTTTTAGCCGTTAGCCTCTTCAGTATTGCAAAATGTTGAAAGAGAGAGAGACAAACAGATGACAAAACCGTAATAAACTCTGTTAAGAACAGTGCTGTTCACTGATTGGCCATGGGACGTGTAAATGTCATTTTCTGCGACACTGTTTTGATGAGTATGGACTTTATGCCAGAGTAGCTAAGATGCACCTTACGTCTCGGTGGTGCAACCAAACATCAACACAGTTTAAGTCTCAAACTAACTAGTTTCAACGTATTGTTTAGTGTGGACTTTGCACCCTAACTTAAGGTAGAACTTGCGTATCGCTGGTGCAACAGGCTGCTGGACTCTAAAAGTCATCTCAAGACTTTTGTGGCCTATTACTTTTCCTGCTGTTTTGACTATCCTGGCCAGCTTGTTTTTGATAGTGTGTTAGAGCCAGTGTTAGAAGTCCGAACTAGACAGAGATATTAAACACCAGAGTACTCTCTATCAGGAATACACATTCTCAAGGATGTTTTGACTGACCACAAACTCCTTCAGTTTCTTAATTAAAAACAGTCTCTGCCAGGATTTATTACATTTGGAATCAGTATTTTCAGTGAAACTCAATGTGTCATCCATAAGTGTACCTAAATACTGAAAACAGTTTCCACTGATTGACCACAGTGTGTAAGCGACAGGGGTGGCTCTGCATGATGTGAAACAAGGTCCTTATAGGCACGTCGTACCACTCGGCAGCCATCTTGGCAACGCCTCCGAGCAGCCATTTCATAAAAACTACATGACTGGAATCAGCAATAAAAGCTGATTAAAAAAAACGACTTTGCCTCAAAATAAGGTTTAAAAACCATTTTTCCCGACCGGTGACTCCGGTTATACTTCTACTGCACATGCGCAGTAGGCCCCTTATGTGGAAGCACGCAATTGGCTGAAATATGTTTCCCGCCTCGGACGATTGACTTTCTAGCAGGAGGGGTTGGACAACTGCCATCTTTGGCGTTATGGGTTTTCCCTATAAAGTTGTACTGAGGATTCTTAAAGTGGCATGTCTCCTCTGTAGCATATCTAAACTAGCTATTAATTTTAATAAATTTCTTGATTATAGTGAATTTATTAACTAACTAAAGCGATATAAAAGGGTGGTTAAATACATCAGGGAAAATAAGCAATGGCTAAACAATGAGAATGGAGGTTCGATAGTGGGAAGCATTTGACTCATACGGCAGAGGAGAACTAATGAAAGTAAGCTATGAGTTTAGGAGTTAAAAAGATAATATTAACATTATGGGACATCCCTGACCACAGAATGTTTTGTTGGGTCTTACTGCTTGTTGACGGCCTGCTTTGGCCTGTTGCACGGGTCCCACGCTAGCTGCCTGATCCTGGCTTTTTGCTAGGGATTCTCCAGGGTTCTCCGTGTCTGATTGAAGAAAAACCTCAAGGGTTGGCCGTCCTCCGTCTGGCAATTCGGCTGTTTTCAGGTTTCCTTCTTTGCCGGTGGTGAGACCACGTGGCTTGGTCTGACCTTGGTGAAGTTGGCTCGACGAAAAAGCTTAAAAAGGGAACTTGGTCCAGTGTAACTTAACGGACTGATAACTTTAACAAAACAAAAGAAAGAAAGAAAATAAAACAAGTAAAGTTGCTGGAACTGAGGTATGAATCGATGTCGCGGCACTTCGCGTAGCTTTCAAACAAAGACTTCGTTGCACCGGTCGGAATTCTTAGGGCGTTACCGGGAGAGGCACGCCGGACGCGTACCGAAGCATCCAGAGAGCAGAGCGGAAACAAGAGAACGAGGAGAAAAAAAGAGAGGATGACATCGTGTGTTGCTCTTTTGTGGTCTGGTGCGTGGTTCCCCAGAGGGCAGCCCTTTGTTCCCGACAGGCAGCGTTTCCGGTTTCCCGAGGGACTGTCTTTCTAAACTTTTAATGTCTATAAAAGAAAAGAATCTATAGAATCTATTTGCGCGTATTCTAATCAAATATTTTAGGATTTCCTGCCCCCCTCTAAAGGGGAGTTCCGATAGGCTGTTCAGGGAAATGCTAATCGCTGGTTAATGTCCCTTTTGTCAGTTTAACAGTCAGGCACCGCATTATCAGGCTGTAGAATCAAAGGTGCCAGTTTTACGATCAGGCTGCTCATGAATAGCACTTAGAGAAAGCAACCTTTCCACCACCTTTCTGTTGGGGTCTCTTCAGCCGTCTGCTGAAAGTTGATCTCAACCCCTCCTCCTGCTCTCAGGGAGAGGGGAATAATTTTGAGTAGTTCAAATTTATTTAATATAAAATGCACAATCCACACTGTTGGTCCCACTACACCTCTATATAACATCTCTGTAAAATCCGCTCCGCTGGACCTACACCACTGCTCCAGCCTGGAAACTTGAGCAAAGTAATCAGAGACAGCGAAAAATTCTACTGACTGCTTCACAATCAGGTCAAGAGGGGTCTTGGTTGGCAGCAGTTTGCGGTGTATTCATGTAATCGTATCTATGAACACAAAGAACACCAAACAGCAGCACAGAATCCACACAGGTCCATTGTTTTTTGCTGAAGGACCCAACACTGAATTTATTTTACTTTCACTGAAGGAGACCAATGCAGGAAAGAATACAGAAAGAAATGAGTACTAAAGAATTGTTTTCCAAACTGCACTTCCCCGTCTTAGTCAGCCAGTTCAAGAAGCACGTTTGCACTGTTCCACTTTGTTCATTAAATTTAATTATTATACATTATAAATAACACTCGACTGCCTTCAGGTTTGTATTAGAGCCACACTCAAAAGAATGATGCTAAATATAAATTATATTATATATCCCAATTATTTGACACTAAAGGTTAAATATCAAGTACCTGAGGCTCCTTTCCACCTCCCGGGTCTCCTTCTGGTCCCCCGGGTTCAGAAGCCTCAGGATGTTCTTCTCAAAAGACTCAGTACACTGATCCTTAGGAAGCTGCAGAGACACAGGGCGGAGGAGAACAAATCAGTGTGTGTGTGTGTGTGTGTGTGTGTGTGTGTGTGTGTGTGTGTGTGTGTGTGTGTGTGTGTGTGTGTGTGTGTGTGTGTGTGTAAACTTGTCAAATCTGGTATCAAGTGCAATTCAGCGTCAGCGGTCTTTACTGACTAGCCTTACCCTGAGACCTAGACTTGAGCTAATCCTTTCACAAACTAATAAAAATAAATTTTATTTGTAATGCACCTCCTATTTAAACAAATCCTAAAGTGTTACAGGATAAAAACGGGTAAGTGCTAAAAATAAAAACAATACGGCAAAGAAAAGGGCAAGAGTTCAACCAAAAGCTCTCCTTATAAAGGTGGGTGTTGAGGCTGCGTTTAAAAACATCCACAGTCTGTAGTTTCCTCAGGTGGTCACGGAGAACATTCCAAAGACTGGGAGCGGCTGAGCAGAAAACCCAATCTCCCACTGTATGGAGCTTGGTCCTGGGAGGTTTCAGGAGATATGAGTCAGAGTGAATGATGGCAGGGCAGCAGAGGGGGTTGTGTTTGCCCCGAGGTACAGTTTAGTGTCATCAGCATAGCAGTTCAATGAAATTCCATGCTGGCTGATGACACAGCCAAGGAGGAGCATGTAGAGAATAAACAGGGTGGGGCCGAGCACTGAGCCTTGAGGGATTTAACCTCACCCAAGGCGTCTTGCTCAGTTCTCCCAGTGAGGGTGAGGACCAGTTATGGACAGAGTCAGAGAGACCCATGGTGGAATGTAGACGGTGAAGGAGGATGTTGTGGTCCACAGTATCGAACACTGCAGTCTAGGAGCATGAGAAGAGAAGGGGAGTCAGTGTCTGCCGTCATCAGCAGGTCATTTGTGACTCTGACGAGAGCTGTTTCTGTGCTGTGGCCAGTGGGGAAACCAGACTGGAATTTCTCAAACAGGTTGTTTTGTTTTAGATGGTCCTGAAGCTGTGAGGCAACTACTTTTTGCAGTACCTTAGAAAGGAATGGAAGGTTGGAGATAAGCCTGTCGTTGCACCTCTCCTCTGAGGCTTCTGAATGAGAGTGAGTTTGCAGTTTGAGTTTGTAATTTATAGTGGACAAAAGTTGCTTGGAGTTGCCAGGGCTATTGTTGATGATGTTGGAGTAGAACTGTGACCGTGCATCTCTCAAGGACCTTGTGTAGGACTTCTGATGCTCTCTGTAGGCTTCAACAGTGAGTTCTGAGGCCTTGAGATGCCGCTCAAGGACATGCCCAGCTGTCATCATCTTCCACAGTTCGCAGGTGTACCAGGGGGCTGAGCGTAAGAAGATGACCGTTCTGGTTTTGACAAGGTGTGGAGATCTAGGGGACTGCTCAGAGATTGGTTGTAGAAGTCAACCAACTCAGTGACAGAGAAATCAGCAGAGGAGAGATCCTGAAGGTCTACAGTCAAGGTGTCTGGGTTGATCTTTTTCAGGTCCCTAAAGCAGATTTGACGCTCATCTTTGGTGTGTGGAAGGGAGTGGCAGCTTCATGGAGATCCATGAAGGACACATCCAGATCATAAGGTTGCTAATGGAGGCGGAGTTAGAGATGACAGTGTCTTTAAATGGTGCTGATCCACTTCACATTACACAGACCTGAAACTGAACTGGGATTTAGCCAAGCTTCATTATTGGTGCCTGTATGAACACATCCCGTGTGTTACTTTTTTTTCATAGGAGCTACAGGAGATGACTTATGAACACGACCACGGCTGCATGCCAACAAGTCTGGAAATTCAACAACACAGATGAGGACTGAAGCTGCTACCGCTCCTCCGTGTAGACACAGTGATGCTTTGACACTGTCGCTGCTCTAACGACTGGCTAAATGTGGTAGCAGTTGTTGCATATGCGTGGAAAGTCAATAACATCAGCAAAAGTGGTACCTTAAGAAGGAAGTTCTCCAGTTCCAGGTGGGTTTTGGTCACAGTGCTAGAAGAAGAGTCTGACCACTTCACCTGAAACACAGAACAGAACATTCTTCATCAAGACATAGGCTACCATGAGAAATCTGCAACATGAAAAAGGAAATGGGGCTACGCAGTGACAGTAAAAAGAACAAGATTAAACTGTACTGACTGAAGGGACCTGTTTTTAGTGACTCAGTGTTACATACAACTCATACAACACCAAAATGGTAATAAAAAGAACATTTTAAACAAAAGAAAAAGAACAATAAGATGTGTTAGAGCACCGGCTGAGACACAGAGAGAGGTCCCATCTTTTCTGAGTAACTGCATGAGTCTGAGGAATACATTCATAAATGGCAGGAGCACCACCATCCGGTCAGTTGCGAATGGTGAGGTGACTTTCAGTGGACACAGAGTGGCACAAATTCAATACAAATTACGTGATCAATGTTCATGAAGCTAAGAGCTAATGAGTCTAATCAGCTGTGGGAACACATCATAGTGTACTGTGACTCAACATGCAACACCAGTGGGGATGAACGTTTGAAGACCCCCGAAGACTATAAATTATATCATAAGGACAGATTTGGCAGACCTGGTGGTGGGGTATGCCTCTATGTACGTTCAAACATGCAAGCCGATGTTTGCGATCTTGCCGTAAATGATAATCATACAGACTCTCTCTTTATTGAGATAAAAAATGACAAAGGTAAAAACATTATTGTGGGCGTAATTTACCGCCCCCCAGATTCTGATTTAAACATTTTTAATAATACACTAGAAGAAATTCTATTACACATAAATAAATTAAATAAAGACTGCGTCCTCCTTGGAGACTTCAATATTGATGTCTCCAAGGACGATGCAGTCAAAAAGGACTTCATTAATACACCACATTCATCCTCTTTCTTTCCAACAATAAATATATTTACCAGAGTCACAAATACTTCTACAACTGTTATTGACAATATTGTCACAAATATACGAAATGTTAAGCTTGAATCAGGAGTTTTACTTTCTGATATATCTGATCATTACCCAATAATGCTGTTCTTTATTTTGATTATAAATGTTTACCCTTATGTCACCCGATAAAAATTAAAGTAGTAAACGATCGAACAATGTATCAACTTAAGGCAAGTCTGCAAGCTAAAGCATGGGACATTGTTTATTGTTGCTGCGATCCTGATACTGCATATGATTTCTTGGTAAATGAAATAACAGACTCCATTCGCTGCTCCATTCCTATAAAAACTGTTACAAGCAGAAGGGCAGAACACAAACCCTGGCTAACAAGGGCAATCTCTAACTCCCTTAAACAAAAGAATAAACTTTACCAAAGATATGTTAATAAACCAAATATAGAGAACAAAACTAAATACAATGTTTACAAGAATAAATTGGTATATATAATCAGGAAAAGCAAATATAATCACTACTCTGAATTGATAAAAACCTCGCAGGGAGACTCTAAGAAATCATGGGAAGTGTTGAATAATGTTTTGAATAGGGACCATAAAGATACCGTGCTCCCTGATACAACAAATAATACTGATCTTGCAAATGAATTTAATAATTACTTTGTATCAACAGGGGCAAATCTCTCAAAAAACATTACTCAACCACACAGTGTCTCTTACCAACAATATATGTCAGGCAATTATCCAAACTTCTTCCTAAAGCCTACTGATGCCATTGAATTGTATAATATCATAATGGCTCTGAAGAGCTCAAATTCTGCAGGAGAAGATGAAATTAGCAGTAAAATATTGAAAAGTATTGCCAAAGAAATAACTGAACCACTTACACATTGTATTAATCTCTCACTGCTTACAGGAACTGTTCCCAAAATGACAAAAATTGCAAAAATAATTCCGATTTTCAAAGCTGGTGATAAAAATGACATCATAAATTATCGTCCCATATCAATTTTACCAACTCTTTTCAAAATATTGGAAAGAGTGGTTTATAATAGACTTATTAATTATCTTAATACACTGAACATACTTAACCCATCCCAGTATGGCTTTAGGAAAAAACACACCACCTGTATGGCGATCCTTGACCTTACTGAAAAGATCAATGATGCCATTGAAAAGGGGGAATATGGTATCGGTATATTCCTAGACCTTTCAAAGGCCTTTGATACCATCGACTTTACCATATTACTGTATAAATTGCACCATTATGGAATCAGAGGTCAACCACTGAATTGGTTCAAGAGTTATTTACACCAGAGGCAACAATATGTAACTATTCACGAACAGAGATCAGAAAACAAACACATTCAATGTGGTGTTCCACAAGGATCCATATTAGGTCCTCTCCTCTTTATTATTTACATTAATGATCTGGAAAATTCTTCAAAGACCCTTCATAAAGTAATCTTTGCAGATGACACTAACCTGTTTCTATCACACAAAAATGAATTTGAACTTCAGAAACTACTTAACAAAGAACTTCAGAATGTGGATAACTGGTTCAAAGTAAATAAACTATCTATAAATACCAGCAAAACAAACTATATAATATTCTGTCCAACAAAAAACAACTTGATTTCGATGATCTAAATTTTCAAATTAAAATAAAGGGAGAGGAAATAAAGAGAGTGAAGACAACTAAATTTTTGGGTGTCTTTATAGATGATCACCTAAATTTTAAACACCATATTGAATATCTTGTCAAAAAGCTATCAAAATATGTTGGTCTGTTCTTTAAGCTTAGACATCTGCTTCCTCAAGCAATACTACTTACTCTTTATAAAACACTCTTTGAACCCCATTTAAACTATTGCAATATTATTTGGTGCAATACTTATCATACTTACTTAAAAAAATTAGAAATTCCACAAAAAAAAGTCATTTGTGCCATATCATGGTCAGATTTCAATGCTCCAACTCGTTCTATTTTCTTGGGTACGGTATTTTAAGACTAAATGAATATAATATATTTCACAATGCATGTACTATGTATCAGGTGGTCTTTGGTCTGAATAGCAGTTTGTGTGAGCTTTTTCCCCATCCGCTGTCCCCAGCACACTCACCTCACTAGAAAAAAGCACATTATTATTGGGAAAAACACGGAGATTAAAAAGCACTGGTGTGAGTGTAGTGTGCCGGGGACCGCGGATTTGGAATGAGCTGGATGACAATCTGAAAAACTCAAGCTCTTTTGTTTCCTTTAAACAAAATCTGAAGAAACAACTATTAAGCTTGTATTCATCTTCTTGATGTATGTACTACCTCATATTCTGAATGTATGTCAGTGTTACTCCTACAATCTCAAGGTAAACTGTAAAACAAAATTGTACTTGTTAAATGGGATCCCTTAATGTGTTGTGTGAAAGTTATGTATGAAATGTCTTATATGTAGGCCACACATTTTCTTGTTTTTGTTTTGTCTTTCTTTTTTTTGATTGTAATGGCGCCCGAGCATAAGCTTTAGATAGCTTCTTTGGGGACCAGTTCACATATATGATCACTTCTTTGTTCTTTGTTATATTGCAAGTGCATATGAATATATGTATGTATATGTGAATAAATAAAACCCTTCTACTTCTAAGACAGTCAGTTCATGACACGCTGCACGCTTTTCTTATTGCTTAGTTAGGCTGCAGTAAGCATGCTGTAGGGCTGATAAATTAGAAAAATATCTAATTGTGATTATTTTGACTGATACTGCATTTGCAATATGATTTGTAATACTAACAATTTTTAAGAATTGTTCTCATTCCATCACATATTAAAATGATTATGGTGTTTTTAAGGGTCTCTTTTCCAAAGATGTTTTCTGAATTCTGCAGAACATGATGTGTCGGCCAGGACATCTCTGCAGCGCCACAATATTTCATTTTAAATGCTATTTTTACAAACATCACCTTAAAAAACTGCCTTTTGAAAATTGGTAGTTCATTGGTAGTTTATTTCAATTCACTTTTATGAACAGACCACAGTACTGCATAATCTAGTTACACAGGAGAACATAACCATGTGTTGGCAGTAGTGAATCAGTGTTCCCACTAAAACAGTTTTAAAGTAGCAGTAAAGTAACTACAGTAGCTGTATACTTCAGGAGCATATCAATCCTTTGTTGTGGAAAATATGGGTATCACATAAACATGAGGCCAACGTGGTAGTTTTTTTGCCCATCACAACTAACACTCAGGCTTAGACAGCCGGTCACATTTACACTCAGCTCTATGCTAACCTTTTTCACAACGAGTACATGTGCTGCTAAAGAAAAACATTTAGCAGCACACAAACACATTTAGGAGCACTGTGAAAAAAGTAACACAAAGTTAATTAACAATTTATTACATACATATTTACACTGTGTGTGTGTGGTGACCTACCTCAAAGTTGTATTCCTTGTCTATTCTGGTCTGAGAGATGCCCCTGAGCACAATTCCCTCTATATGCACCGCTGCAACAACACAGAGCAGTGATAAACTCTTAAACCAAATATCCACTTGACAGTACATGTCTAATGAAAGCCTTTACAATTATCAGGGTTATTACAGCACTTACTATTATCAATCAGTATGTTCTGTGTGCTGAGACATTTATTGTTTAAAAGGTTACTGAAAGAAAGAAATGTGTGTGGGGGGAGCTGTACAGTGTAGTGGGTAGGTGTTTGATCCCTGCAGTGTTTATTTTAGGACCATTACTAAATCAAGCTTATAAAATCCACAAATCCAAATGCTGCACCTCCAGTAAATGATAGCAATTATTAAGTACAGTAACTGTTTCCATTCACCTTCTCTTTGTGTCGCCCAGCTGCTGGATCGTGGGCTCTGGCAGGGAGAGTGGGAGGCACTATATTCCCCCAAACCCAGCGCTGGGGAAGGCAGGTAATCCGTCTTGTGACACATCAGCTCCTGGAGAAAAAAAACACAAAGAGTTAGTTATTGGCTCACACGGGTTCTTCATTCGCCTGAACCTGATCAACATACCGGGCCCAATCAGATCTAAGGTACAGTATGTAAAATTTTATGTTTCAACTGAAATATCTGACGTTTCAATAACAAAGCCCCTGATATATGAGTCACATTCATAATGTTTGAGCACAGTGTAAAGTTGGATCATCCACATCAGGAGGGCTTTGCTTTGTTTCCTTATGATCAGGCTGCTCTCCCAGAACTCAGGGTTCCACATTTAAGAGTGGGCTTAAGACTCTTTGATAAAGCTTATAGTTAGGGCCATGCGCTAGAGGATAATTAGGCCGATTCACCCCTCCTGACAATCGCAGGGGGGACGCCTTCATGTCTGTTTATTTCTGAAGTCACTGAGAAACCGCCACTCTGAAATCATTCATCTAAAGGCCGAATGTGTGGTCCTGCTGACGCATGTGTCAGCATACTTTTTTTTTTTTTTTTTATTGATGTCTTTATTGCATTTTTCGAAACTGGCAAAGCATTATAGGACATACATATACAGGAGTGCAATATGTAAACAGGAGAATAGAAAAAAAAGCAACAACAAAAACGAGAAAAAAATTGGAAAATAGGCTAATCAAAAGTGTATTTGTGGAGAAGTAAAATAAAAAGCAGGGCAGAGATAATCATAATGAGCTAAGTGAGCATGGCTGAAATTTATTTTCTTTCCTCTTATTTATATTTATATATTAATATCGGATCAATTACAAATTATAGCATTACATCTACACAAACCCACTAAATGTTAAACAGGCTGAAAACAGTTAAGAGCAAACATAATATGTAATACATGAAGCTGACACCAGCTGAGCTGTAGCATGCAGCCTGTGGGGTTTCAAAAAGGCAACTAAAGCAGAATTGCCTGAGGACAACACACCAGGACCCACTGCGGCCTCCCTCTATCTTTTACCACATCTGACAGTACCACAGTCCAGAGACCCTACAGCACTCTAAAAATGACATGTGTAATTTTATTAAGAGCAATTCATCTTCACCAGGCCCTGACTCACAACACTGTCAAGCTCAGGGATTCATCCCAAACCGAGCCACAGAGCATCAGTCCTACTGGATGTCTGTTTAAAGGTACGAGCAACATGATAAAAGGTCTAACACCAAGTTGGTCATCACCTATTGATCACTACGGACCCATGTCATTTACATTAGACAATGACACGTTTCCAAACATTGCTCAGTTGCTAACTGGCTGACCCCGAGTGGTGGGGTTGGGGGGTTCACGTGCTGGTGGGAGGCTCGGACACTCAAGAGTCGGCTGCAGAACAGCTTTGCATTCTAACATGACTTCAGATATTTGAGATGTGATTTTTCCATTTATTAGTGTACAGTCAATAATCTATCCTTGCCTCAAAGACACACAGTACAGATCTCATATTTCAGACTGGAGGGTTTCATTCCCAGCAAAGACAACACTAGTTTTTCCCTCGAATGAATAAAACAGGTCTAATCAGGGCAAGCAGCAGTCTGAATTAGTCTGGAACTAGATGGAATAAAAACCTGCTAACTCACAGTCAGACCTCTATGGACAAAGGCAGACGGAGAGGAACGCAGAGACTGGCGGACAGAGACAAAGATGGTGCTTGGGTGATAAGGAATGCAGTGTAGAAATGGATTGACCCCGAACCACCAAATAGCTACTAGATACTAGCTTCAAGAAAGCTTGGACATCAAGGAAGTGACCTTAAGGTTTCAGTTGCTCACATGTGTGTCCTGGTGGTCATTTTTAATACAGAGGTTTGTTTGGAATAATGTTTGCTTGATTGGCAGGTGTCCGCCCTGGAGGTCTCCACTTGGCCTTCCCACATTAGCTCCACCCAGGCTCCATGCCCTTTGGCCACATCCGGATTTTCTGGCTTCAGTAACTGACAAGCACTGAACCCAAACTCCAGGGGGCGGTTACACAAAGTGGGTTTACAGATACCTGGATATCACTGTAAAAGGTAGAACCCCCTAAGATCTGGGAATGGTGTAGAAAGGTTTGTTTCAACGTTTGGTGAGGACTTTCAGTCCAGGTTACCTGCTTTGTAAAGAGCCAGCTTGCTTCCTTATTTCCCTCCTTAGATGCTACGTCTAGGTTTGTCTCTGGTAAACAAGACAACATTACATCACTGTGTAAGGAGGCTTGTACTTTAATCAGCACATCCTTTCAGCAACACATACTAAGCTTTAACACATCCAACACTAACACAGACACTGAAGTGCAGGGTGGGAAAGGGGGCTGAAAAAACAAAACTAAAAGCTGGAATACTCCTGCTGAGTAAATAAAGTCCCAGTTCTCAGGCAGGTCTCTCAAAGTTTAGTTTTTATCAAGTGCTCTGACGGTAAATTACAGATGAAGTGATGAAATGAGAAGCAGCTGTGTAAAGAGCAGCTCTCTGCTCATAAGTTTGTCAGTTTAAATTAAAGTTAGCGAGTTGTCACCCCAGTTTACCCAGCACCACTAACGTTAACGTTACATGGTCACCAACACATAGCAGTAACTTACCCCAGACATGTGAGGGACAGTTGTGGAACTGACTAAAACCACTTTAGCTGCTGGCAGGTTAATCTGCTATGTGGGCTAGCCTTTCCTCTGTTAGCATGAAGTTAGCTGTCCTGCCACAGGCGATCGCTCATGATACAGGGACAGTAAGGTTCATGCTACAGTACTTAGCATACAGGCCTAGTACCTTATTTAATAAGCTAATTTATCTAGCTGTGCTTCAGACCTCCCGGTTGAACTTCGAAGCAAGCGGTTAGCTTAGCATTAAACGTAGTGTTGGTGGTTACCGCTGTCTGGCGTCTCTCCTCCTCCATGGCGAGCTCCGTCTTGTTCAGCTGGCCTCGGACTATCTCCCGCTGGTGGAACTGGAAAGCTGGGTGCAGAGAGGCCATGGTGAACAGCAGGGCCAGCTGCTCCAGGGGCCCCGCCGCGGGGTCGGTAGAGGAGCAGTTCTGCTCGGACCCCGGATCCCCGTCCTGACACGGTGGCTGGAAATGAGGGTCCCTGAACGGAGGAAGCGGGTAGTCGTACTTCTTGTAGAACAAGGCCGGGTCTACATGGCTCAGTATCCGAAAGAGTATTCCAGCACATTCCCTGCTGTCAGACCCGAGGAGGGACAAGCACACCAGGAGCTTGGACCGAACAACTGGGTCGATTATGTCTGTCAACAACCCCAGATCACTCGGACTATTAGCTCGAAACTCGAAGTCCCTTAAAACATGGAAGTCTTTTCTAGCGAGATCCTCCAGGTAAGACCCCAGAAAGCGGAGCTCCAGGGGCTGGCACATGTGGAGCAGTCCGCACATGAACTCGACCCGCCTAGCCGGGTTCAGATGTAGGCCGAACCACTCGAACACGGTCTCCTTATCCAGCTGGGATGGATGCACAGACGGCCCGGGCGACTCGTGTAGTCTGCCTGACCCCGAGGAGGGAGGTACTGGTCCAGACTGGATATGCTGGTCCAGTGAGTCTTCCTCGGGCGTGTCGTCGCCTCCTTCCTCGCCCGTTTTCAACGGTAGCTTCATTTTCAGCATCATCAGCGCAGCGAGGGAGGCTTCAGAGCGGAAACACCGGCCCGGTCCACATCGTTGACCACTCACACCGGGTTTAAAGCTGAAGGGGGACCGAACTGTCACACGGGGCTCTCAGAGAACCACCTGACGCTGACTGTCTTCTACTTCTACGGCTTATTTCCGGCAGAGCCGCTGTAAGTGAGCGCACAATGCCACCGTGCGGCTGTTCCTGTAACCTACCGGTGAAACACACCTGAGTACAGACGAAGTATGTATCGTCTATGGTACAGGCTGTAATAAAGAGGGTATTTAGTGTTAGTGGCCTAGTGTGTCTGTCAGAATATGTGTCAATGTTGAATTAAAGTAAATGTCCCAGCACCCTGTTAGAGGTTAGAGTCTGCTAGTGAGGAAATCTAACAGCCAGTCAGAGAGTGTGGGCTTCAGGTCACAACTGGACCATTTGTTTGTGAATCTGTGAGGGAGGACTGTATTAAAGGCTGAACTATAATCAACGACCAGCGTTCTGATGTAAGCATTTATGTTTGCCAGGTGAGAGAGGGCTGTATGCAAGGCTGCAAAGGGGCAAAATGTCTGAGTGTTATTAAGTATAAGATATTAAGTATAATATCACAAGGATAGCAGTCAAAACTTCTTAACTTCTACCTTTACTTATAACTGATGATGATAATAATACACTTTATTTTTAGAGAATATAGCTTTCATACACAAAATGAAGCTGAAATTGCTTTGCAATAAAATAGAAAAACAGAAATTGGGAATGTATGTAAATAACAGCAATAATCATTACAGTAACAACCTTCACCACCACCATCTAATAATTGTAATAATCTGTCAAATGTTTAGCGAACACTGCCCTCTGAAGGAAAGGTGGACAAGACACCAGTGGCTGAGGGTGCAGCTTTACTTTCTCTGGGTTTGAAGACGTGTCGCTCAGTGAAACTGTCTGCTGGAGTGTTTGCTTTCTCTGAATATGAATTGTCAAACAACTGCCTCCTTTTCCTGGCAACATTTTCAACATGAGGTCAGGAAGTCAGATAAAAGGAGATAAGAAAAGACAACCAGGGTGCTGAGAGAATCCCACTGAGCTGACCCTGTGTGAAATAAAGAAGCTGTCAAACTAAACACAGATACAGATATGTTGGCTGGAAGATCTGCAATGCTTTTCACACACACTCAAATGTTTAATCTTTCTTGAGTTCCAGAAATACAAATACAAATACGGTGTATGAGAGCACTGAGATAAAAGGAAATGTTCTGTTGGTTCTCCTGGATTTACACATGTGGAAATGAGTCAGGACCACCCACACTGTGAAACGTCCATGCCTTCATGTTGTGGACAATTCTGTCTTTTAAGATACACCCCTTGGCCTTCAGTGACCTTCCTAACATGAATGTTAGGCTGTGCTGCAGTGTATTTAGTATGTAGACAGATGAGTATTGTATGTCTATAATCCCAAAGTTCCTTCCCCTTCCTGTTCTCTTAAAATAGAAACATGCAGCAGGTGCCTTCAGTAGAATGGTCAATTCCTCTGCAGTGAACACAGACTTGGAGCGTGGCATGGTCCTCTGTGTTGTCCAGCCTTGCGTGGGGCTGGTTGAAGAGGAAGTGAAGGATCATCTTTGGACATTTCTTTCATTGCTGTGTTCTTGCTGTTTTTTTAGTTATTTATTTTTGCAGCTCACAAAGGCCTTAAACCAGCACTGAGGGAGCAGCAACTTCATGATTGGGGTCTCTGAGAACACCTTTACCGTGCCGTTCCAACAGGGGGCAATGGCAGTTCAGAGTTCCTTGTTGTATGAACGCAGTGCGGCTGCCTCCCCTTCTTGTCTTTTGCGGCTTGAACTTTCAGTGCCCTTTGCTCTGCTTCTTATTCATATGGCTCCTGGTTCCGTGGTCACACTTCTCTGAAATGGACAGACATCTTGTTTCTTTTGTAAAATATATAAAATATTTTATTTGGTGCATTTTATTCTGCAGTATTCTGTTCTATTTTATTAGCACTATCTGGAGCTAGGCACAAACTAAGTCACTACACATTGAACAGTGTACGAGACAGATATACGTGATTTGATTTGATATGGTGACATGTAATAACATGAGGAGGAGATTTTAACCCTTTGGAGTAGCTACATGTTCAGCCACTAATGGGAAACCTGATCGTTCTTGACAGTGTTTGCATGTAATGATGTAATGAGTACATGTAGGCCTACTAAAGTACCGTGCCTAAGTACAAATTTGAGGTACTTTATATGAGAACTTCCATTTTATGCTACCGATATACTTCTTTTCCCTAAAGTTCAAAGGACATATTGTACTTGTTAGTGCACAGAATTATTTTGACAGTTACTAGTTAGTTACCAAATTAAGATATTCCATATAAAATATATGATATAGAATATAGTGCATTGCAGATTAAAATAGCCTTTTAGTCTTTAAATAGTCCAAATTAGCTCCACCTTGACCAACTACAGAAGTTAAATGCTAGAAGGTGCACTTTTCTAGTACTTTTACTTTTGATAGTAGTCCTGTATTACTGCAGCCCCGTGATCCTGTCCTTGGTGGCTGTGCTTCAACAGCCTCCGGATTCCCTGTCTCCTCCAGTTCATCTCACTGACTCCTAGTTGCCAGCTTCTAGTCCAGAAACCCCATAACCCACCTCTGGTTCTGCACTCCTGCTTTGTTGGCCAGCCTCCAGAGCGGTCCTGCCTGTCTGGTTGTCCTCCTGTGCGTCCTCCTGAGCGGCTCCGCTTTTGGTCCTACCTCCTAGTCGTCCTTCAGACCTGCTCCACCTTCTTTGACTAAAAGAACATAAAATATGTGATGGACAGTGTTCAGGTGTGTCTTTGGTTCTTTGACAATACTTTGGACAACAAATGAACAATGTCAACAAATGTTGACAATAAGAAAAATATAAAATATTGCCAGCATGATCCTTTAAAGTTAACTAGATGACTATGCCCGTAATAGTTTCTCCATCCACAAAGTCACTTTATGCTTTACTTTACGCTCTGGAGTACATGGTACTCTGACCTAGTTTACCCTAGCCCTTTTAGAAACCATCAAGTAACTGAAGATATCTTAACTGTGGGTTTCAGTCTATGTGATATATTAAATGATAGCAGTAATTCAATATGAAATAAGAAACATTAATGCATTTTCACATTGTGGTCAGTCCACACATTGGAAGTGTGTGTGTGTTTGTGTGTTTGCGTGTGTGTGGGTGTGTGTGCAAATCCACTTTCGGTCCACATTGGTCTCTGTAGTGTCTCATTCTGTGGTGAAGTTAGCCACAGTTTTCAGGGCTGCCGTGACACTCCCACCACTCCCTCTGCCAACCAGAGGGTTGACTGTCACCACTCTCTTCACTCTCTTCACTCTCTTCACTTTCTGCTAGCAAAGTGGCATTCATCACTGCTACTGGCAGCTGGAAGAGAAAGGTAAGGGTCTGTTATCATGTCTCTACTGCATGTGCTGTTATGGGCAGGGACTTTATGCCCTGCATTAAGGTCTGTCTAATCAGAGTGCCAACCATTGGCTATATCTGTCCAGCCTGAGATTTAGTGACATATATATTATGCTAATCAATATCAAAGGGATGTTATTTATATAGAGACAGTATTACAAATATATTATACTAATCAATAGCAAAGTGATGTTAGGCATAAGGGGACAGGGCTATAAAAGCATCCTTTGTTCTGTTTTTTTAAAGAACACAAATTTTGTCAGTTTGGTGGTTGTTGATCTGCTGCTGTATATATAGGATCTATGCCTAGTATCTATGCCTGCATGTATCATCACTGTTGTTAGTAGCCTGTTCCAAACTTGATGATATCGTGGCCTGGGTTTGGTTTGGCCAGGCCATGAGTGTCCGGCTACCAGGACAATGAGAAGACAAGCTAAATATACAGTCTAACTGCATACATCCACCTCTGTGATTATGGGTCAGCGAGGTCCACACCAGTCTCTCTCGCTCTGTGTCTCTTGGCATTTCAGAGTTATGCTGTTAAATCTGTAGTCGGAAATAATTTCCATCCTAATTACTGCATGTACAACTACCGAACAAAAAAAATGATGGAGAAGGTGTGTGTGAGTGGGTGTTTGTGTGTATGATGGTGTTCAGGATCGTCAGTGCAGCTATTTGTAGTTTGGGACATAGTGTATAGTTTCATCATATGAAAATGATTTTATTGACGAATGTCAGTATAGTCTTCAGAAGAAGTCACAAATTATCTGTCATCAAGAGGTTTTAGGCTATGTGACACTAAAATACTTGGCTCATTGCAGTTATTCTTGCCATTAAATACCTCAAAGTGAGACTATGCTTTTGCTAGCCCTTTGCTAGCACTGCAACATGATCCATATCTACACAAACCTTAAAAATCTAAATGGTATTTTTGATATCTGCTGTTCTGGGGATAACACAGATGTCTCCTCGTAACGTTTCCCGCTCCACTCATCAAGGATCTCATCTCTGCTGTGCTATGGCAGGCGAAGAAAGTCTGTAGAAATATTGGGTATATTATACTTAATATCTTATTATACTTAATAATACTCGAAGACGTTTTGCCCCTATGCAGCCTTGCATACAGCCCTCTCTCACCTGGCAAACATAAATGCTTACATCAGAATGCTGTTCGTTGATTATAGTTCAGCCTTTAATACAGTCCTTCCTCACAGACTCACATCCGCTGTGCAGCGGCCCAGATCCAAATCCATTCTGTGGCCCTTCGCTACGTGTTGCCCCCTATCTCTCACCCTCTTCCTTTCACTATGCACTGTCCTGTTGCAAAAAATGTATAAATAAATATTTATAATATAACAAATATATCTTTAAAAAAATACAATCAAGTAATACATCACTAGTAGGTGACCCATCCAAATGTAGGGCAATGTTTAACAGAATTTCCAGAAAATCAGTGAATGAATGCATCTCCTCCGTTTCATGTAGGCATAGAGCACTGGCTATGACCAATGATATTATGAGCAATCAGTCAGAATGTAATGGATCTTAGCGGGACTATATGGCAATACTGCTCTCCACAGTAAACAAACCAACCATAGGCGCTATGCAATCCCAACATCTGTGCACAAGGAATGTTCTGTGAGGCTGAAGCCAGCAGAGGCGGTTGATGTGGTTGGTATACTGTACTTCTGATTTGCCAAATGTAGAGTGAGGTTTCACTACCCACCTATCCACACTGTTTGTTTGTAATGACTAACGGGCTTTAAAATG